CGCTGACTGTGAATCGAAAGTACATAATTTAATGATTTTATTTTTTAAATTTACTTGTATATAGTTTTCTCGTATGCATTTTAACTTATTCAGTTTTTCTATATACATTTGAATTGTGGGAAATTGATACCGCCCCAACAAATTGTATTATTTTTATGAAAATTTCATAAAATCTTAATTCATTTTTTATTATTCTTTAATAAAATTATTTAAAAAATTTAAATCTTTCAATAATTGAATTAAAATTTACAATTTTATCCGAATTTTAAATAACATTATTTAAAATTTGTATTAACTTAAAGAAAATTTCAATTAATGTGTTTATTTTTTAATAAAATTTATTTAAAAAATTGAAGTATCTTTGAACAATTGAATTAAAATTTCTTTGAAATAAAATTATTTGACTTTTCCTTTAATTTTACTGACTTATGGTTCATAAAATTTATTTTTCTGGCAACAAGAATTTCACTATCTCTTACTTTTCAAAACACTTTTTAGGTTAGGATACGTTAACCTGCTGTTAACACACGTTAACCGACCTATTGTGGCCGGTTAAAGTTAACATCGGTTAAATCGAGTTAACGTTCCGTCAAAAGTTTGTGAAACGCAAGTAGAAATTTGACGGTCCGTTAATGTCTTAATCGAGGTTGGTGGAACCGGGCATTAGTAATTTTGCCTATTTCCGTAATGCGCATGCGTCTGTTTCTGTTTTGACAGTATTTACCTGTAATACTTTCATGTGAATTATTGTGGTTTCGTAATACGATTTCTTATTACATTTCGTGTCTACTTTTTGGACATAAAATGGGGTTTTCACATATATCAAAATTAATGTTTTCTCGGAACTTTTGGAAATATAGATAGTTCCTGTTTTAGAAATTAAACTATTTAATTATATTAGTCAATTCTTTCAGACTTTTTTGGTTAGGTTTCAATATAAATCGTCGAAATTTTTACGCACGTGGTGACAACATTTTTACTATTTTAATCGCGCAGTGTGTTTGAAAATTTACCATTGCAATAATTTGTGTATTAAAATTTATTTTCATTTAAATGGCATAAATAATAAAAAATTAATAGTTTTTGACAAGTAGATAAAATTGTGTACTTGAAAGATATATAAAACATCATCTGATTTAGTATTGTACTAGAACAAACTCTGCGCGCTACGCGCGCCCATTCAATTTTTTTTAACTATACACTTCTATGCTACAAATTAAATTTTATACCAATACCACAACATAATTTTAAATTTTAAACATTTTTTCAGGTATTTGATTATTTTTATAAAATATAATAAACTCATTCAGAGTAATTCAACTATTTTCAAGAATATCAATATTCGTCACAAGAATTCTTTTTTTTCAAAAGTAATAAAATTTTTTATTAAAGAAATTCAATTATTCTTAAAAAATTTTATTTTTAAAAAAATTTACGAATATCTCGTCAAGAATTCAGTTATCAATTATATTCAAAATGTTTTAACAATTAAAAATTTTTCAATAATTACTATTTTTATAAAATCTATCAAATAATTTTACAAAAACATTTAATTATTTTCATAAATAATAAAATAAAATTCATAATCAGCGACCCCAAAAACCCTGGAGTAACAAACTTTCAAGCGAATCCAAGCAATTCTTAATTTTTACATCTGCCATCTTGGTTCCGACATTTTAAATTTTTGAAAACTAATTTCGGATTTGTAATCAACGACTCCAAAAACCCCGAGAAACAATTTTCAAGCGAATCCAAGCAATTGCATGAAATCTATTAAAGCAATCCAAAAACACACCTTTTTGGTGTCTTCAACCCAATTTTTTGAAAAAGCTTTTAATTTTTTTTTATTTTATGGATATGGGTCTTGTAGTGCACATTACAAGCTTTAATTTAAGACCTTGTGGAAGTCTCTAGCACGTCAGGTTAAAGAGAAAAAAATGTTAAAAATCCTCAAAAAAGCGTTTTTGGGGTCTTTACCCCCACTTTTCTCAAAATCCTGACGTGATGGGCAATTTTGGAATTCGGGATCGTGTTCAGCGTCCAAAAATACATCGGAAACCATTCCGATATCTCATAAAAAAAAGTATGTCTTTTTTTGTTGACCTGTGTTATTGTCATCGCAAAATTACCTCATTGTAAAGGAGCATCAATCCTTGCACTTCGTTCTTTATTGCTTATGTCTCCTCAATTATTAATCAAAATTATTATTATTTATTATATAATTATTATTATTAAGAGTCTAGTCTCTTTCAGTATAATCAAGTTATATCTTTTGGTGTTGTTAGCAGAGAGAAATATTTGTATTTTTTAAAATTTACACTGATCTTTCCCTTCAATGTAATGTTTCACATTTGAAATCCCAAAGGAATTCAACATAACAAAATAAACTAAATTAAGAAAAGTCCAAAATTTCCCTATAAACATAATTTTATATATATATATATATTACTTCTATTTTCTCCTAAAAATATTTTTACGGAATCAAATGATTTTACTCTTGATAATGCAACATACATCTGACCATGATTAAAAACATCTCGTCTTAAATCAATGAATATTTTATTAAATGTTTGACCTTGAGATTTATTAATGGTCATTGCGAAAGCCAATTTTATAGGAAACTGTCGTCTTTTAAAAGTAAATGGATATAAATTTTCACAATATAAAGTTACTCGATGTAAAAAAACAATATTTCCACTCTTATCTCCGGTTAATATTTTACATTTAATAACATTATGTGATAAATCTAAAACAATTAACCTTGTTCCGTTACATAATCCTTCATTAATACTAAGATTTCTAATAAGCATTACAACAGAATTAATTCTTAAATGTAATTCATGTGGTGGTAAAGAAGGTGGAGAGAGAGTGTTTAAATATTCTGGTAATAAAACTTCAGAAAATTTTCCATTATCACAACTTTCAGTTGAATCAATACTTTTATATATTTTTTCACCTTTACTGTCTAAGAGATTTACCACCCTCTTATTAATATCATCAACGTCAACATTTCTTGGTGCTAAAATTGCACACATTGACAAATCTTTAAATTTTTTCTGTTGTATCAAATGACTATACATTTCTTCAGCAATATCTATATTTCCTTGTTGAATAATATGTTCTGGTAATTCGATGTTATCATCTATATCATTTAATTCGCCATTACCAACTTTAAGTAGAAATTCTACAAATTCTGTTTCCTCTGGTAAAGCTCTCATATTTTCTGTTAATGTGTATTTTGTGAAATGTTGCCATAAATGACTATTTTTTATTGATAAATTTATTATTTCTGATCTAGTACCTCGTTCTTTTATCGGTAAAATTTGTCGAAAATCTCCTCCTAGAATTACAATTTTTCCACCAAAAACTTCATTTGATTTCATTATATCTCTTAATAACTTATCCATAATTTCTAAGGCATATTTTGGAGCCATTGGTGCTTCATCCCAAATAAAAACATCAATATTTTTTAAAAATTGTCCTTCTTTTGACTGAACTTTAATATTTGAAGATGAATCATTGTACAATGGAACAGGTAAGCCTAAGACTTTATGTACAGTTTTCCCATTAGGAAGCAGTGTGGCAGCTATGCCTGTAAATGCCATGTTGCAAACATTTATTCCTTTACTTTTTAATAAATGCCATAAGGTAGTATATAAAAAAGTTTTTCCAGATCCTCCACAACCATTAATATATAAGCATTTAGAACTATTAGAAGAAGAATCTTTTATTACTTCAAGTATATAATCAACTATATTTTTTTGTTTAACATTTAATTTAGTATAATTCTGCTCTCCTATTTTTATATGTTCAAAAATATTTATATCATCAACCTGCGCAGGAAAATTTTCATCTATATCTAATAAACCCTGAAAATCAGTTAAACAATATCCTTCATTCAATAACATTGATTTTATATTTCTATAAGCTATTTTTTCAGCTTCAATATTGTCAATTTTTGAATAGTCTTCTGACATTTGACCTTTAAATTTCTCCCAAAGTTTTTCCGGATGTACAGGATGACAATGAATTAGAATTCTTACAAATAATTGTCGAAGTGAATGAGGCATCATCCATAAAGTAGCTTCTTCCATTGTCCTAATCCACTCACTATCATCTTCTATAAGTCCTAATGCCAAACAAGCAGATGTAAAAGATTCATGAATAACTCCATTAACTGTTCTTAAACTTTGGAAAGAAGTTACTCCTTTTACTGTAAGTAACAATAATCTAAGGTGAAATAATTCTTCTTCCATTGTCCTAATCCACTCACTATCATCTTCTATAAGTCCTAATGCCAAACAAGCAGATGTAAAAGATTCATGAATAACTCCATTAACTGTTCTTAAACTTTGGAAAGAAGTTACTCCTTTTACTGTAAGTAACAATAATCTAAGGTGAAATAATTCCAATTGGCGTGGATTAACTGAATACATTCTTCCCAATACTTTTTCTTTACGACTCCTTTTTTGCTATTCAAGAGTTTTTTTTATCCACGTATAATGTTCTGGTATTTGTGTATAATAATACTGACGAGCAGTACTATCACGCTCATTAAGTTTAAAAAAATCGAGCAATTTTGTATTTTTCTGTAAATCAAAAGAAACATTGTTATTATCTTTCCTTTCGCGAATAATAACATTCTGTTCATTTGGTAAATGTATGGGTAAACGATTTATACTATGGCTCTTTTTCCCTAAAGGTTTACTTAAAATTCTCCAAACAGCCTCAACAGGACCTACATACCTATTTTCTTCATAATGATTAATTTCATTGTGATTAACAGTTACCTCACCATTCGCATTTGTAATAATAATGGATGCAGCATCATGACCCTTGAAAATATATTTATATAGATATTTAACAGATTTAATACTTGAAACTATTTCCACATTTATATGGCAATTAAATATTTCCGAAAGTGTAGGGCAATATGGAACCACATTAGAATTGTCAACAACAAATCCATTTGCTCGCTCATACGTTTTATTATTATTTCTTCAACGACAACGAACATAACAGTTTTCTTCAATTGTAGTTTCTTCTTGGTAACTTTTTGGAAAATTTTTTGAACATTTACCATCAATTAAACACCAATCTCCACAAGGTCCGTGAATGTTATTTTGCATTATTATGTTATGCAAGGAAGGATTGATATTTTCATCAGGAATTTCTGCAGAAATATAACGATCAACACTTTCAACTGTTAATATTTTAGAATTTTCTTTTAATATAACTAACAAATGAATATGTGGTAATCCTCGCTTTTGAAATTCAATAACATAAACATAAGACTTAACCTCTCCAAATAATTTGTTGTCAACAATAACATTTAAAAGTTGTTTCACCTTCAATGCAAAAACTCTAGTTACTATATCAGGTCTATCAGAAGCAGTTTGATGAGGTAATAAATTTTCTTGTATCTCTTTCCAATTTGGATTACACGTCATTGTAATAAATAAATCTGGTCTACCATGACGACCAACAATAGCCATGGCATCCTGATATTGTTGCATCATATTACGAGGTGATCCTATAAAAGTGGAAGGCAATATAATTAATAAAATAATAATAATTAATTATAATTATAAATTATAATTAATTAATTATAATTAATATTATAATTAATATAATATATAAGCATTTTTCCAACATGTACATCATTTTCTAACTCATTATTTTGTAAATAATCGATTAATCCTTGATATGTTTCACTTCTCAATTGAGCTTGATTGTTTGCACAAAATTGCAATCTATCTTTCTCTATTTTTACATAATTGTCAACTACCCATTGTTGAAACAATCTTCCCCCATATAAAAATTGATTAAATTCCTTATCTCTTATAGCAATTTTGTATTTACAATAGGCAGACCTAGAAATATTATGTTTTTTACTTCTAAAATCACTATCACTACGAAGCATATTAATATTATAACCTTTATTTCCAAGTGGATAAAATATGGGATAGATCCATGGTTCAACATTCGGATCTAAATTACTAACTGATTTCAGTTCCTTTGTAGACTTATTATAAACTGTTACATAAGATTCTGGTATTTCTCCTTCTGAGTTTGTATTGAAAATAGCAGCAACTTCATTGTAACTTTGATAATTATATCTTTTTTTATCAAAACCTTTTTTCAACGTGAACAATAGTTGTAACTCTGGAACATCTTCATTATTTTGTCTTGCTAATTCAGTTTCTATTTTAATTACTTCTGACATCATCATGTAAGATTTTGTGTATGCGTTTGAAGTTCTCATAATATTTTCTATATTTTGTAAAAGTTCTTTGTCCAAATTTTCGTTACTTTTTAATCTGTATCTGATTGATTCGTCAGGGTCATAAATAAATAATTGACCAAAACATGGATCCTCACCTTTATCCGGATATAAAGCACTATTAATTTGATAGTAAATTTGACCTTGAATTTTATAACAAAATGGCCCTCTTCTTCTGTTATTAAAATTAATTACATTAGCATTTAAAGATGCAAAAGAAAAAGAATTATTGTACAGCCTTATATTCTTTTTAAAATGACCAGATTTTTCATGAAGCCCTTTTAGCAAAAGCTTTAATTCATCTGGATATTGTATGGAAGTTAAAACAACACCTCCATGACTACAACAATCATTAAAACTAACTTTTCTACCAGCAACTTGTTCATCTTTAAAATGTTTAGCTTGACAATGTGTGCAATAATAATTCATTGGACCTAGATAATTTTCAACATTATTTGACTTAAATGTTTCATTATCATCTAAATCTATATTTAATATTTTCTTTGGAACAGAAATATTCAAATTTGAATTTATACTATTATTTACCAGTTTCAACTCATTTTGAATTTGATGATTTAATACTCTTTCACAATAATTTCTTGGACATAGAGTATTTTTTGTTTTTGACAAAGTACTTCTATCACTGTTTATATTTTTTAATTTAAGGTTTTGAGCATATTCTATTTTAGATTCAACTTGAAGTTTTTTCTTAGTTGAAGTGTGCACTTCACCTGAATAATTTACATTATCACTTTTACATTTCAGTTTTTGCCTTTCGCGATAATTTCTTTGAATTTCAGCCTTACTTTGTTTAGGTGTTGTTGATGATTCAACATTTCCTTCATTTATTTTATTTATTGCTCTCGGAAAAGAAAGGGAAGTGTTTGCTTCCTCTGAATAATTTGGATTATCAACTTTACGCTTCAACTTTTGCCTTTCGCGATAATTTCTTTGAATTTCAGCCTTACTCTGTTTAAGTGTTGTTGATGATTCAACATTTCCTTCATTTATTTTATTTATTGCTCTCGGAAAAGAAAGGGAAGTGTTTGCTTCCTCTGAATAATTTGGATTATCAACTTTACGCTTCAATTTTTGCCTTTCGCGATAATTTCTTTGAATTTCAGCCTTACTCTGTTTAGGTGTTGTTGATGATTCAACATTTCCTTCATTTATTTTATTTATTGCTCTCGGAAAAGAAAGGGAAGTGTTTGCTTCCTCTGAATAATTTGGATTATCAACTTTACGCTTCAATTTTTGCCTTTCGCGATAATTTCTTTGAATTTCAGCCTTACTCTGTTTAGGTGTTGTTGATGATTCAACATTTCCTTCATTTATTTTATTTATTGCTCTCGGAAAAGAAAGGGAAGTGTTTGCTTCCTCTGAATAATTTGGATTATCAACTTTACGCTTCAATTTTTGCCTTTCCCGATAATTTCTTTGAATTTCAGCCCTACTTTGTTTAACTGTTGTTGATGCAATACTCCCTTTATTTATTTTATTTATTATTCTCGGGAAAGAAATTTCTTTCTTCATAGAGTTTTTAGAAAAGTTTGATTCTCCATACTTAAGTTGAATATCTTTTTCATTTAAAAGGCAATTCCAGTCATTCACAACTATGCAAGATCTACTATTAGAAAGTTGTTCAGAGGGAAATTCACTTAAACTATTGTTTTTGAACATTAACATTAAATGATTTCTCATATTACAATAATAGTAATTGACAGAATCAGGCATAATATTAAAAAATAACGATGTTGCGAATGCTATTGCATATATTCCACAAGCAAGACTGTTTAATGGTTGTTGATCAACAGTTGTGAAAACTACTGGTGGTTCAAAAGGATATAATCTAATTAAGTAAGCCCTTTGATCGTCATTTAAATATTTTTTATTAAGACTATCAAAAATGTAAAGGCTTTTTCCATCATAATAAGTACAAATCCAATGACCAGACTTATAATATCCACTAAAAAGTATTTGAATGTGCTGCTTATTTTTCTCGATTGGAACTATCAAATCAAGTGTTTGTAAACACAAAGTATTTTGCATATTATAAAAAAAATTTGATTGTCTTCCCAATAGCTTTTGAAATTCATACATATGATCATTATTTAGCATTGCTCCTTCAGTGACAACAATACTTAAATCATCAGTAGTCAAATTAACAGTTTCTCCTTTGTTAGACATTGTTCTTTTATTTTATAAAATTTACTTATATCAAGGAATTAAAAATTTAAAAATAGCAATATTACAGTAGAATTTTAAGATCAAGTTTTATACATTTAATTATAAATATTATAATTTCCTTTTATTCAATGATATTACCAAATTTTGCCTCCTATAGAAAATACAAACAAATTTCCAATTTTGTCTCTTATCCAATATATAACCAATTTACTATTTTTCCTTTAATCCAATTTAACCAATTTCTAGCTTTCTTTTTATCCAATATAATTAATTTCCAATTTTGCTTTTTATCCAATATAACCAATTTTGCCTTTTATCCAATATAACCAATTTACTATTTTTCCTTTAATCCAATTTAACCAATTTCCAGCATTCTTTTTATCCAATATAATTCATTTCCAATTTTGCTTTTTATCCAATATAACCAATTTTGCCTTTTATCCAATATAACCAATTTCCAGCTTTTATCCAATATAACCAATTTCTAATTTTTTATTTTATCCAATATTCCTGTTATACAATTCAACCAATTTCCAGCTTTTTATCCAATATAACCAATTTTGCCTTTTATCCAATAAAACCAATTTAACCAATTTCCAGCTTTTTATCCAATATAACCAATTTTGCCTTTTATCCAATATAACCAATATTTATCCAATATAACCAATTTTGCCTTTTATCCAATATAACCAATTTTGTCTTTTATCCAATAAAACCAATATAACCAATATAACCAATTTTGCCTTTTATCCAATAAAACCAATGTAACCAATTTTGCCTTTTATCCAATATAACCAATTTAACCAATTTTGCCTTTTATTCAATATAACCAACTTCTAATTTTGCCTTTGGATTCCAATTACATACGATTTCCAAATTATAACAAATTTTTTAATTTATTAATAAACATAAAAAAAAATTTTTTTAACTTTATTAATTAACTTCGAAAACTAAACACAACTCAAATACATAATTATTTAAATGATTGAAAAAAATTAGAAAAAAGTATTTTAATGTATTTCTATTATTATTTAATATTCACTTATTTAATTATATTCACTAATACTTACTATTCACTAAATCACTATTTACTAATTCACGAAGTATTCACTGATAATTCACTTATTTAACTTTTTTATTCACTCACCTATAGTGAGTGAATTCCCAAAAAAATTGTTATACTTCAATTTCGTTGAAGACACGTAGAACGTGCTCCAAGGAAAATAATCGACGATATGATTTTTAAATTAAATTTTCGTTCTTATATTTAGGTGGTAGGCCCTAAACGTGAGTGTCCTCTTCGCACTCATATATATATATATATATATATATATATATATATATATATATATATATAGGCCTGTATTCGACCCTAAGAAGGATTACGAACCCTTAAACAATAGCCTTTGTAATGGGGATTACCTCGGAGAACCCAGGTAATATTTTCTTTCTTCCTTCATCGCAAGGGAAATATAAAGAAAAGTCTATTATATGTATATATATAATATATATAGTAATAGAAACTCCAAAGGTAACGGTCTCGATAACGTCTGGATAACGGCGCCGATAACGCTTTCTCTGGTAACGGCTACCTTTCTTTCTTTCTCTAAAGGCAATGTCAATAAGAATGTCTCTCTTTACCTAATTTGCATATCTGCTGATTTCATATAAGGATTTTGACTCGAAAATCTAGTGTCTATTAAAAAGTGAAAATACCAAGTGCGTGTTTAGTGTAGTGGTTATCGTTCCGGGTTTCAAAGTGCGTATTCGTTAGGTTCAGGTGTTCGCGTCCCCACAGCGAGAAATATTTATTTCATAAGCTTAAATTAATTCTAAGTTATACATATAAATACAAAGTCAAATATAAATATGTTCAAATACAGTAATTAATTTTTTTTTTATTTTAATTAGTTTTTCTCTTTTATTTGATAATAAGAATTTGATTAGCAATTTCAAATAATTATGATACACAGTGTAAATCTAATATTATTCTCCTAGTCAATTTGACAAATTTTCCTGGTCACTTTAACTATGCTTGAATTTTATTAATTTTACTAGGATTCTATAGTGGGTTTCTCTCGTAACTATTAGGAAACCTAGCCAATTCCTGGTATACGGGTCCTAGGCATTTTTTTCGGTGTTTTATCACGAAATATTTAGAATTGAATATTATAGGTATTAATTATGTAACTATGTAATTATCATTACAAGGTTGTACATCAGGTAAATCTACAAGTATACATTGTTGTAAATATATTTTAAAGAAATTTTTAAAAAACTAAAATAAGAAATTTTTATTTTTTAAATAAATTTGAAAGGTTTTTAATTAATTTATTAAAAAAAGACAAAGTATAATAATTAAATAAAACAATTAAACTAGTCAAATTGAAAATTATTGATAATAAATATAATAAATTATAAAAAATATAAATAATTAAATCACAAAATAAAAATAATAAAAACAATAATAATTATTATTATAATTATTCTAGTTTAAATATAAATTTTTCTGAGAACTTTTCTAAAATCAAAAGTTTTAGAAAAATTTTAAATCTATTATTTAATGATTAATTTTTACAAATTTTTTCAAATCTAACATTTAAAAAAATAAGTATAAAAAAATTAAATTTAAAAGAAAATTAAATATTAATTAATGATTTTTAAAACAATTTTAAGATGAGATTACGAAACTAATCACTAATGAAGTTGATTGACACTTGCATTTGAAAAAGGCATCTTTTTTCGAATTTAAAGTTTTAATGGTTTACATCTTGCGTACAAATTGTATTGACATAAATTTACATTTTACAGCCACACTTTTAAAATGTATAGCTATAGCCATCAGTTAACTTATTTTTAC